GGATTTCTCAGGGATTGCGTTGCTCTGCTCCCCTTGCTGCCCTGTTGCACTCCCTTCGTGTTTCATCCTGGTGTCAGGGACGTCAGACTGTGCACAACTCCCGCAGTGTGTCTCCAGTGTTGTCCCCCATTGTGCTGTGGGTCAGTGAGGGACGCCATGTCTTGTGGTGGGGCCAGCCCTACTGTCCTCTCTTTGCACTGGCTGCTCCAAGCAGGACTATCATCCTTGGGCCTTGATGGGCCAGATGTGGTCCACTCTCTCTCTTTCTTTTTCTCCTACCCTCGTAGTTTGCTCCCATGTGTTCTGAGCAGACCCACCCCTCCCCTGAGCCGTGTCTTCAGTGCTGTCCTCTGTAGTACATTCTTTTGGGGAACAGGTCCACACAGCTGGGATTGGGGCCGGCCCCGCAGACCTCTCTGTTGGTTTGCTGCTTCATGCCGGTATGTTGGATGACAGGATTTAGAATCACTCATGCATATACCTGGCTTATGCTCACCTGACTATTGCTGTGCTACCAGTCTTCACCACGAGGGTTATCAAACTGTGTTACGCAACTGCGAGTTGGTGGTTTCAAGTATAAAGCCATGCACTTATTTCTATTATATTTCTCCCCCTCATAATCTTAGGCCTTCTCACTTTGTCTGGAGAATAGATTAAATGTTTGATCAGATTGATCTATAGTTTTCAGGGTCCCTGCTAGTCAAAAGTGGCATCAGACTCATGCTGGGTGCCACTATGGTCTCTGATCTATCAAGTTAGATATTTATTCTCGCTTATGCCATCCTCTTGTTTGACCAATGATGGAACAAGGGCTGGCAGTCTATGGCCCCTGAGACAATGCTGGATTGTTAACAGGTTTTGCATAGTCCTTGACCTAAGACTAGTTGTAGGCATTTTCTAAAGGTGAAAATAAAGAAAGGAATAGAAAGAAAAATAGGCAATGAAGACTGTATCCCACAAAGTGAATAATATTTACCATCTGGTTCATATATGTATAATGGTAAATACACACACACATATATAGAGATTCATATGTGTATGAATTCTCTATATATGTGTGTGTGTATTCATATATATATATATGAAACTCCTTGCCAAATTTCAAGTCCACGTTGGCTGAGATCTATAAATAGGTGGATGGATAGGTAGGGAGTTAGGTCATAAATAGATAGGCAGATAAGTAGATAAATACATAGGAAGTTAAGTGGATAGATTAGCTAGGCAGGCAGGTAGACACAGACAGATAGATAGGAGTTCAAAAGGAGCATGTGCATTAAAAGGGGGTTTTTGTTTTGTTTTTAACTAAATTGCTCTCCTACAACAGGACAGGGAGTTTGAAATATACGGCATGTGTGAGATTTAATGAACTGCAAAAGAAATTAGTGATCCCTTTCAAGGAGCAGCAAATGGTTTTAAAGTGTATGTCTTCAAGGATATGAATAGTTGTCTTTATGAAAAAGAAGTATATTTCATCTCCAGAGGACAAAATCAGACTCAGGGAAGATAGAGGAAGGAAAGTAGGCAGAAAGTAAGGAAGGAGCTCCCCAGTGTCCATGTGGGAGCACGTGTTGATCTGGTCGTGATGACTGCACTGTCTTGCCCAAAGAGTGCTTTCCTTGTGATGTGTGACTGTTGTTTGGGGGGAATGGATGTTTTACTTTTTGACCTAAAAAATTTAAATGTACAAATAGATTTTGTTCTTATATTCATGTTGCTGTAGGCACAGTGAACACAACATTTTTCTCTACCTAATAAGGCTTCCAGTAATAAACCAGGGCATTCTCCCCATTATTTTGCTTTATAGTTTCTGAAATTCCTTAATAAGCACCTCCAATGTCTTACACATTGCTCATCTATTATAGGAGTCATTATTAATGTAATATTGGAGGGCAAGAAATTAAATGGTGCCATCTTATTCTAGATGGCGGAATTTATTTATTTATTTATTTATAAGCATTTTATTGGGGGCTCTTACGGCTCTTAAAACAATCCATGCATACATTGTGTCAAGCACATTTGTACATATGTTGTCATCATCCTTTAGAAAACATGTTCTTTCTACTTGAGCCCTTGGTATCAGCTCCTCATTTTTCCCTCCCTTTCTCTCTCCCCCACCCTCCCACCCTCATGAACCCTTGATAATTATAAATCCTCTGCCTCAGTTCACCCATGTTTCTGTTGTTCTTCACCCTGGATGGGGGGTTATATGTCAATCGTTGCAATCAGTTCCCCTTTCCTCCCCCCACCTTCCCC